CTTCATGCTTTTTAAGGAAGCCTGGGTCAGAACACCTGCAACTTTCGCAAACTAGTGGTCTCTGGATTCTGGGACCACAACTCCCAGAATTCCTTGAGTGAATGTTCCTAAGGGAGACATCAGTGAGACCGATGAACAGCTGGAGCCTGTTACCAGTGTGTCGATGCACAGAGCTGCCAGACGAAGGGAACAGCTAAAGAACAGGGGTCGACTTGGGAGTAAGGCTACAGGTGGACAATGACTGGCCCCTCCCAGAGGAAATAAGAGGAGTGAAAGGGGAGTGGAGTTTGCAGGAGACAATTAATTTGCTTAATTGGCTTGTGGCTCTCCGAGACACCTTGCCAAGTCCTGGCAGCTCTCCAAGCCAGATAAGGTCTGTGACTGTGAATCCTCCCTTGAAAGACTTTGCTGGAATAAGCAGAATTCACAGTAAATTAATAAAAGGGGTTTCTTTCGGGATGAGTTTCCTTCATGCTCTTGGGTAGCCTAGGTCAGAACAGGTTTGCACATGTAAGTAAAAATAAGCACATACCCAATTTGGCCCAGTCACTACATTTCACATTTGGTGCTGCATTATTGACACTAAAGAGATGTTTGCGAATCTGCATGTTTTGGAAATTTTCACAATTTATTATATACGGTTTGGCATTAGCATCTGGATCCTTAAAAGTCAGCATCGCTAACCGTAGCTTGAAGTTGGTGGTTCTTCTTGTTACATTTCAAGTTGAGCTCGATGCAAGGTTCCAAGTATACCTGAAGGTTACCGAGAAACGGTGATACTGGCCTTTCCTTCCACAACTGGCCAAGTGTTTACCGCCGTTGACCTTCAGACCTTTGAAAGTCCCCAAGTTGTGGAAGGTTGGCACGCACTGCAATCTCGGCTTGGACAAACACACAAAAGACCCACACGTAACATCAACCTCTAGGACACCCCAGCTCAGCAACTGAAACAACAACATGTCATCTTTATTAAGGAGTTCCCATCGTAATGTAACACAGAATTTTAAAGAAAGAAACAACACATGACTTGTTTTATGCCATTATTTTCCCCATCCAGAGAATGGTCAAATATTAGGGTTGGGGTTGGGTTTTTTGTTTTTGTTTGTCTACACACATGATCATCTTAGCACTTAACAGCTCCGTCACTCATGTTCACAAGCACAAAATCCAAGGAGTAAAATCCAGCTAGTATTAAATTCTACATAGTTTAATTATCTGTAATTATGATTTTTCTCTTCTTTTAGAGCATCAAGTCACTGCGGTAAATTAATTCCATGTTCAGTGTCATTTTTTTATGCATTTACATAGGACAGTCATTAAAAACAGACACACGGAGCGAGTGAGCTCCCACAGGAAACAACATGCTTACATAGCCTGCAATTTTTTTAAAACTTTTTTTTTCTATTCCCCATCTCAAAGCACAAAGCAAAACAACAATGATGAACATGGAGGGGGGGGGGAGGGACAGAGAGAGAGAGAGAAAGAAGGAAGACTCAAGTGAATAGCAGAAAGCTGCATTCATTCCATACAACTGAAACAAATACGGTTGCTTGGAGTTTGTTTGTTTGGTTTTTTTTACAAAAGAATTGTTCTCCCATTTTTTTTTAAAAAAATGCTTGAATTCATTATTAAAGCACAAATGAAAAAAATAACATTAAAAATAGCTGAACATATATATATATTACACTTACTAAATATTTTCTTAATAAAAGTGCAATCTCGTAAGTAAATTAAAAAAAGTAAGAAATCCATTTGAAATGGTCTGGAATTTGTTAACATGAACAAAAAGGAAAAACGGGCAGGTTAACTTCAAATTTCATACCTATTACACCGTACATTTCAGCATCCAAATGGCAGGGGTTTTTTTTCCCCACTCCGCCCTGAGCATTGGCAATTGTAAACCAAAGACAGGAAGTGCCCTAGGGATTATCTTCATATGGCTGAATGTATGGAAGGAGGAATACAAACATGTTGGATTATGCACATCACCCATTGCTCCAGTTACCAGAACATTGGGGAGCTACATAAACATGTACGCTTCACATGTGTTCCAGTAAATACGGTAGTACAGAGGTAAGCCCAGTCCGTATTGACAAGCTGGAAAAAATATATAGACAGTCAAGGATCCAGAAGAGACCAGTAAAGTTGACCACATCTGTGGATGTCAACTCAAGGTTAACTGAGAAGAAATGCCATGCTCTGCTTGGTCTATGCATGGAAGTGGTGACAGGAACAATGGCATGTTGGACGGGGCTCTTTCTGACCGTAACTTAGCGGAAAGAGAGAAAGGAGCATTCATGACTTATTTAATGAGGGAGTATCTGGGAATCTTAATATTTCATTGTGTAAAATACGTGCTGGGTAAAATCCTTAGGACTTTTTGGCCTTGAACGCAATTGTGTCTTTCATCCTCAAAGGGCTTCTGGTCTATCTTAGGGAAAGTAGAAACTTAGAATCTTGTTTAACACAGTCTGACTGGATTTAAGAATGGGGCTATTGAAACCCTTCCAACACCTGCATCCAAGATTAAGTAAAGGCACAAATTAATCCCATACGTGTACACCAAGACTGCTACTTAAAAGAGGAAGAAGTAAACAATAAAGGAAGGATGTGACCAAATAATGACTCAACCAACCCAACAAGGATGGGAAAGAAAAGGGAGATTCTAAAGTCTTCGCATGTTAACATCCTAGAAGGTTTAATGGAAAGCGGTCATTCATTCATTCATTGGGTTTGTATGCCGCCCACTCTCAAGAGACTCAGGGCGTCATATTTCTATATATTCAGATCAGGTAAGTACTGTGAATTGTGTTCGTTCCTGTACAGGCTACATACAGGTGAAACTCGCAAGTTATACAATATGCACATTTGGATTCTATCGTGGTTTCGGAACTAGGCAAAAGGAGCATCCACTTCATTGGACCAATAATAAATATTAAGAGGCCTCTGTGCACCTAGATGAGCACTTCTAATCCACCCACATTCAGACCTTTGCACAAATTATTAAAAGGATGATTCAGGAGACCTTGGCAGTGTCATTGGCTTGTTAGGAATACACTGCCATCGGTTAGCACGAGGGACTTGAAGAGCAGTGACTGGGCACTGCAGTTTGGAGTCGGTGCCAAGTGCCAGGGTGCCCAAAGTAGAAGCATTTTATTTTCAACCCCAAACAATGCAGGGTTTTAGAACCACTCCAAGTCAGGAAAACCCAAAAGCTCAATGCTTTAGTGATTCTGGGTTTTGGCCAAAGCAAAAACTGATTGTAGCTGATGAATGGCACCTATTCTCTCCCCTCAGCAGTTCCAAGTAGGATATTCCACTGGTTCAACCCAAAACCTTCCCAGAAACGTCAGTCTCTCACCTCAGCTGCCACCCATGTCTAGCAAGGAGCATTGCATCAGCTTCCTCATTATGTCCGCTGTCATCCTTCCTTTACTGCCTTGAGCTGGCAAAGTCCTTCGCTTTTTTTTCCCCCTGCAGGCCACCCACACTGCTTGTGTCCAGGCCAAACTACAATTTGCTCTCTACGCAGATCAGAACTGCCCTGTTTCATTCCAAGCGTGGACCAAAGCATTTCAAAGGGTGCATGGTTTGATTCAGGCACCGGGCTCCCTCAAACCTTCAAGTACAGAACCGCTGTTCCATAAAACAGGTTGCACAACCCTAACTCCAAAGCGAATCCTGATACATCTTGATCAAAGAACGGCAAGGATTCCTATTTCCCGGGTTCCATCCATTCTCTTTTTCTTGCACCAAGGCATTCTGGGAATCAGTCCTACATGTCTCTCCCATAGCTCAGTTTTCACTCGGTCAAGACCCAACTCTCTTAAGACTACACTAGCAATGACATTTAGGCTTACGTCCTTCCCCATAGCACTTCACAACACTCTCTGGGCACTTTAGCAGTAGTAATATTACTATGAGTAGAAAGATGAAGATTGAGCTCATGAAGGGCAATACTGTAGTAGACTTAAGATTCCCAGCTATGAAACAACTCATGTGTTGTTAGAATAGAAGAAGCAAGCCACAGTGACAATTACATTCCGCTCCTGGCCTGCTTATTTTGGGATAGTGGCCAAGAATGGATTGATGCCTTCTTTTTTTCAATACAATACACATTTTTAAGTGCATGAAGTAATTTAGAAGATGCTCCCTGGCCAGTTCCCTTCTCTGAGCTCTCAATCCCTCAGAGTCTGTGGCTTGGATTTTCTAAGAACCTACTTCCAATAGACTGAAGAGTTTAAACAAGGGAGGGTCCCCTCTGTAGAGAATCAGGTAATTTTAGGGAAAGTGCAGTGGAGGATGTCTTTTAGAAGGTATACAGTTGATTCCAAAACTCAAAAGAACCCCCGAAAAATTTGGATGGCAAAAATCAAGGTTGGGTTGATGCAAGAAATGACCAGAATATGGTGGAGGTAGGGAGGCCCTAAAATTCAAAAGAAAATAGGAAAATGGAAAGATTCTCTCCATCCTAAAATAAGGCATCACAAACAATGCAACAGGCAGGAACAAGTCTTAATCATATGTGTATACATACACACACATATAGAGAGAGAGAAGAAAAAGAAGAATCCTTCAATTGCTTCAAGAGCGAGATAAAGATATTAAATATCAAAATAAGATGGGGCACATTCTCCACTTCACAATGACACCTTGACTTAGCAGCATAAAATCTTCCTCCCTCTAATTAGTGGAAAGGAGGCCACTTCATGGGTTTGGATCTCAGATGGTTACCCCCACGTTCTAAGTCACATGCTTGGCGAGTCCAGTTTTGCAAATGTCCAGTTTAAACCCTTTATTTCTCTTTCGCGGCAGTGAAAACACATCCTTAATAGATTGGGGGGGGGGGGAGAGGCAGCTCACGGGAAATTCACTTTATCCTTCCTTTTATAAGAAAATTTTTAAAAAATAAGAGAGGCAAAGCAAAGAAATGATGATGTTCATGGTCACGTCAACTACAAGTTCTACACGTCAATGTTTTTATCTCTTTTAAAAGCAGAAAAGGGGTGGGTGGGAGGGGAGTATCTGTTCCCAAGTGTGGAAGAAAGGAGAAGTGAGCAGGTTTTGTGAAGAGACGGGGTGGGAAATAGTTAACAATAAAAGGAAAAGGAGGGAGGGGAGGGAGAGATAAAGAGAGAGAGCGAGAGAGAGAGAGAGACTATGGCCTCATCCACTGCTTCTCCGCAGTAACCATCACAGGCTCTAAAAGAATTTTAAAAAAGGTCTTTCCAAGTGCCCCCACCCTCTCCCGCCATCTCTAAGTGGACTTTGGCTCCCCCGGTGTCGTTTTTTAACCCAAGCTGGTGATGTTGGCGCGGCCACCAGGGGGTGCAACTATGCGCTGAGTAGTACGCCGTGGGATATTATCGTCGATTTGCGCACCTACAAGTTGGAAAGGGAGAAAGAGAGAGAGAGAGAAACATAGTGAGAAACTGAAGATGTAGAAGACATATATGTATAACAGGAGCAACTCAATTGTGATTTCAAATTACGTCTAAAGCGTTGACCGGCTGACTGCAATCAGGTGAATCGGACTGATCAATACGGGTATAGTCCTTGACTTACAACAGTTCGCTTAGTGACCATTTGAATGGCACTGAACAAGGTGACTGAGGACTCTTTCTCACACTATTTACCACCATTGCAGCGTCCCCATGGTCATCTGATTTATCATTTGCATGCTTGACAACTGATTCACATTTACGATGAGTCCCAGGGGTGGTGGTGGTCACGTGATCCCCTTTTTGTGACCTTCTGACAAGCAAAATCAATGGGGGAAGCCAGATTCACTTAACCACCATGTTACTAATTTAAGAAGGGTGGCGATTCACTTGACAACTGTGGCAAGAAAAATCGTAAAATGGGACAAACTCTTCTAACAAATGTTTCACCTGGCAACATGAATTTTGGGCTCAATAGGGGTCATAACTCAAGGATTACTTATATATAGCAGGGCTCTCTAACCATGGCAACTTTTAGCCTGGCCGACTTCAACTCCCAGAATTCCCCAGCCTTTGGCTAAAAAGGCTAAAAGTTGCCATGGTTGGAGACCCCTGACCTATAGGGTAATTTCATCTGGACTTCCTCTGTACTCCAGCGGTCGCCAACTTTTCATGTTCCACAGCGGTGGCAGCAGTGGCAGAGAGGGAGGGTACGGTTTCGCAAACAGAACCTAATGCCAAGCCTTGCACCCTCACCCGCCACTTGCACAGCCCGGTTCTGAATGGGCCACGGACTGGTACTAGTCCACAGACCAGGGATTGGGGACGCCTGCTGTCCTGGATGAGTGAAGTGGGAAGATCCCATACAAGCTTGGTCTGCATGGCATGGGCCAGGGGAATCCTAACTCATTTCTTCTTATCCTGCACTTTTTAAAATCAGACCAGTGGTGGGTTGAAGGCGGTACGCCCCAGTACGGGCGTTAACGGAGCCAGCCTGGAGCACCGGATACCATTCCGGTATAATGCTCCAGAGGGCTCACCCGCCTGTCCGAGCTCCTTACCGGTCTTCACGCTTCCGCGCACGGTGCATACAACACCTGCATGATGCTCTGCTGAGCAGCTGGAGCGTCATGGAGGCTCACGGAGGCGCTAAGATGCATGCGCGCATCCATGTGGATGCCGCCGGATCCAGAACCCACTACTGAATCAGACCCAAAAATAACATACATCCCCATTAATAGTTTACATTTCCAAGGCATTTAGATTTGCACTGCCTTCTACTATCTTAGACAAGGGTGATATAACCTCATTAAAAGTCTTGAAAGATTATTCCACTGGCGATAGAATCTGTACTGCGATGGCTGCTCGGTTCTTTTCTCCTCCTTTGTGAACTAAACCATACAGGTAAGTCCTTGACAAGGTGGATAAAAATCGATGATTTTAAAATATATGTATTTAAAAATTTGAATTTTTTAAACATTTGAATCCGATTTTTTTTAAACTATATTTATTTTAATAAAATGCTTTTGGAGTCAATATCTACCCAAAGTTAGTTTTCTGTTTAAGATACATTAATAACTTAGTTTATTCAGCATGAAATGGAGCTCAGTTATGTAGCATGAGGCTGTATATTCCCGCAATATTGGGACTGTTGATGAGTCGACAGCGGGTCAGAGGAGGAGCCGCTGCGGGACAGAGATAAACAGTTGCTCTTTTAAAATTATGATTTAAATCAAGTATATTTAAATCAAGGCATTTTACTAGCCATTTAAATCATAATTTAAATTGTGATTCTCCAGATTTTTGGAGTATAACATGCACCAAGGTTTTGAAGAGGCAAATTTTTTAAAAAAAAAGTTTTTGCACTCTGCAAACCTCCCAAAAACAGCACTTTTTCGTGAAAATGGGCCCATTTTTTTTTCTTCAAAAAAGGGGCATGAATACCCTTTAGGAGGCTTGTAGAGTGCTCCTTGGGGGTGGCAAAAACGAGCAAAAAGCAGGCCCATTTTTTGTCCAAAAAAAAGGGCATGCATAGCCTTTAGGAGGCTTATAGCGTGCCCTTGGGGGCTGGGGAGGGGACAAAATTGAACAAAAAACAGTCCGTTTTTCACTTATTTCTGCCCTCCCCAACCCCCAGGAGCACTCTATAAGCCTCCTAAAGGCTCTGCACGGCCATTTTGAAGGGGGCGGGGTTTCGGTAGGCAAAAAATGCTGTATCCAGTGTATAAGACGCATCCAGATTTTCAGCCTCTTTTTTGAGGGAAAAAGGTGCGTCTTTATACTCCGAAAAATACGGTAAATCAAATCCACCCTGTTCCTTGACTTACAACCATTCTCTGAAAAAAAGTGACTGTTAAAGCGGTCCTCAAGGTCATGTGATCGAAATTCAGATGCTTGGCAAATGGCTCCTATTTATGACGTTTGCAATGTGCCGGGGTCATGGGATCCCTTTTTGCGAACCTTCTGGCAAGCAAAAGTCCATGGGGTTGCCAGGTTCACTTAACAACCATTTTACTAACCTAACAACTCCAGTGATTCACTTAACAACAGCTGCAAGGAAGATTGCAAAATGGGGCCAAGCTCAATTAAATGCTTGACTTAGCAACAGAAATTTTGGGTTCAATTGTGGTCATAGGTCTGTAAGACCGCAAAACTCATTTAACAACTGTCTTGTTTAGCAATGGAACATTTGGGCTCAACGGTTAAGTCGTTGTAGGTCGAGGACCACCTGTATAGCTTAATGTTGTTCCATTATTCTGAACTACGCTCATTTCAGTCCGTAATTCGGGAAACTGCAGTTTGGAGATGCTGAAGTATCTCACTGAGATCTCCATTCAAGCAACCCAAAACATGTCCCAGAGCAGGGTTGGCAACCTTAAACACTCAAAGAGCCACAAATGTCCTAACCGGAAGCCCCCCGTTCAATTCTGGACCCGACCTGAAGTCCAGTTCCCCCACCAGAGTCTCCTCCTAGTGAGACTTTTTCCTCTACCTATCCTAACCAAAAGACCTAATAATTGTGGAGCCGACTAGCGACAGGAAGCCACAGCAGAGGGATGAAAGAACCACATGAGACTCCAGAGTTGCTGACCCATCCAGGGGATGATAAATTAGGTACATTGAGTCCTACTATCTGTATTTACTCCTACAACACTGAACTAGAGATAGTAAGCAGGGGCCTCTAAGCTAGTAAGCAGAGTTCCCTTACATCCTCCCCTTTCTCACAGAATCTTCTTCCCTCCCACATTGCCAGTCAAATAAAGCAAAGACTCGTAAAAATATGTACCCGACAAGCTAAATCCAGACTGATGCAAATTCCTCACAGGTGGAGCCTGCTGTTTCGCTGGGGAAGTCTTGGCTGAGGAAGCTGGCGTGACCGTTTTTGGTGTCACCGAAACTTCGCAAACAGGGCCGTCGTACAAACCGCGTGGGACACCCCTCAATTCAGCCAGCTTGAGGGAAAAAGTGATGTTGAGGCAGAGAGGAAGAAAAGAAAGAAAAGTTGTGAGAAATATTTGGCAATATAGGAATACATAATCCAGTTGCTTTCACTTGGATCCTTTACATCTTCCTAGCTTCTCAGTTGAAGTCCACAGGTCTTTTTTTTTAGCAGATTTTTTTATTATTATTTCCCTTCTACAACACCTTACAGTCATTACACCAACATTGTTATGTCATCATACCTGTACATGTATATAATATTTAGCTTCTATATTTGCATACCTTTATACACAGTTCTATATATATTTATATAGAGTTTTTTGGCTTCATTAATTTTATTCTTGTTTTGCAGCCATTTGTACCAATTGTTCCAAATCTCATAATATTCCAAGTCTTCTTTATTTTTTAATTTCAGTGTTAATTTGTCCATCTCTGCACAATCCAAAGTTTTTTTTATCACTAATTC